ACAGTTGAGAAATCAATTACATAGTAATCAATTTCTCACAACCAATTTTTGACTGGGCTTTTAAAAAAGAAAGGGGCCCAAGTTGAGAATTTGTTTTCCATTTCTACTTTGGATCGAGAAAATGGGTCATTTAGATAAATAATAATCAATCTAGGTTATTTAAATAAATAAAAATAATATATTAAAAAAAAGTCACAGAAGAAGGTTAAGGGGCCTCAACCAATTAAATCTTTATTAAGATGCTTACATTTAATTTTTTTTTTTAAAAAGGAACTAAAATTATAATCTAATTTATTTACTATATTTTTAAGATAAGTATTAATATAATGACCCCTTCAAATCAAATCGATAGTTTACTTGGATATGGTATTCTTAATATAAAAGAATGTTTCATCAACAGAAATTATATGCTCCGTATTCATCGATCACTTTTGGAATTTTGGAATATATTACATCTGTTCTAACATATAAAAAAGTAAATATTTAATTTATTAAAATCAATAAAAATAGTTAAATTAATTATTTGTAATTAATAATATAATAATTTGAAAATTTATTTTAAAAATAATTATAAAATTAAATAGTATATATGTAGTAGTTATATTTAATGATATTACTCAAAAGTCAAAAAACTATTTTTTTTTATCAGTGAACATAACTTATATTGTTAAGAGGGTTGATCTAATATGGGTTAATCGAATAATATATGAGGTTTAAAATAAATTTAAAGATTATTTTTTTCTTTAAATGAAAAAGATATATGTTGGATTTTTCTACCTACTATCTCAGATTTCATCCGAGATAAATTTATACCAATTCAAGTAAAATCTAATATGAACTTATTGACGTTATATAAATCTGATATAGTATATCATTCAAAATGAAATCCGAGATGGGTTCATTGATGAGTTATAAATCTGATATACACTCTACAAAGATGACATAAGTTAGGATTAATAAATTGTCTGATCTATTAAATAAGTTGGAATAAAACTGACATCTA